GCTGCGAGCGCCCGATGCCGGCCTTGGTGCCGCAGCGCCCATCGCGATGCGGGCCAACGGCCCTACAACCCTCGTCGAAATTGAACGCAAGTTTTTTCCACCCCCGTCGCCCCCAAATTTCAATGTTCATCGACAGGCGCATCGCGGCCGGCGGGGTCCGAAGAAAATCTCGAAGTCGCCGGCGTCGGCGTGAACATTGAAATTGGGGGTCGGGGGGCGCCGCCAGGTCGCGGCTAAAACTTGCGCTCAATTTCGACGAGGTATGTAGGCCCTACGCTTATGTTGGGCCGGTCCCCCCCCCCACAGGGGGATGTTCGACGAAAAATCAAACAAATACCCCAAAAAGGCCCCCAAACAGGTCAAACAATATGCAAAACACAGTTCCCAGACTATTTTGGATTGTGATTTGATTATTTTGGGGGTATTCTTTATTTTTCGTCGAAATCCTCCTGTGTGGGGACAGGCCCGATTTAACTCTACGCTGGCGCCGCGGGGGAATTGCTCGGGGCGGCACGATTAGTTGCCGTGTTGCGCGGGCCGCTGATCCTTATATAGTTTGGGCTTCTTTCCTCGTGGAGAAGGTTGGCATGTCCGCCCCAAGACTCGTCTTCGACACTCGGGTGGCGAACGAGGAGTTCGAGTCGCCGCCCAAGACCACGTTGCCGACGGCGGCCGCGCGGGCCGCCCTGGAGGCCAAGCGCCCCGCGGTGCTGGCCCAGGGTGACATCCAGCGCGGCGCTGGCCCAGGGTGACATCCAGCGCGCCTTCTACCGCGCGCTCGCGCCGAAAGGGATGAATGAGCACTTCGCGCCCCCCGCCATTTTCCGACCGCCTCTTTGCGCGTCAGGGAGGCGGGCCCGGCGCCGCTGCCCATCGATGGCGAGGCAACCTGCGGCCCGCGTCTTGCCCATGGGATGGAGCTGGTCGCTGCCGTTCTGCCAAAGTATCACGCGGGGAGCCCTCGTTCACCACGGGCTCGGCGGCGGCGCCCTGCGCTCGACAGCGGAAGTGAAGGAGAGAGGCAGATGGATCCCCGGCAAGTTTTTGGGGAGGCGCGGCAGGCGGGCGCGCGCGCGCGAGAGGATCAGGGACCTGTCGTCGAACGTCGTCGCCTTCGGGGGGCAGGTCATCAAGAGGCTGTCGGAGTACACCTTAGGCGATGCTTCAGAAAACTTAAGATCCCGGCCAGAGTCTCGATTATTCTTAACGTTTCAGTGTAAATCCTAAGCTTTCATAGAAATGTTGCTTTTTTCTCTCAAGATCTGAGGCTATGAATTTCTCAGCCCATGATTTCTGAAGCATTTCGCAGGGTGTAGATCGAGGCCGGCTTCGTTTCCGGCCCCCTCCCGCCGCTCGCCGCCCCCCCCCCCTCAGGCTGCGGCGCCCGCCCCGCCGGCCGCGGCGCGGGCGCCTGCTCCGGCCCGACGTTCGGCCCCCGCGCGCGGGGTCGGCTCCTCGGCGCGCCCGTCGGCGGGCGCCCCGCCGTCGTCGGCTCGTCTTCGAGGAGGGGAAAAAACACACACAGACACCAGTATTCGAAAATAGGGGAAGTGGGGGGGAGGACAGAAGCCCAGAACATACTGGAAAATATTGGGGATTTTTCTGTTTGTGTGTATTTACTTGTGTGTCCCAGGTGGTGGTCGGGCCCCGCGGGGCCCCGCGGGGCCCGACCACCACGGGGCCCAGTGGTGTCTTCAGTCTCGCCGGTGGTCGGGCCCCGCGGGGCCCCCAGTTGGCAGGGCGCTGCGTCGGCGCGGCCTCTCGGGCGCGCGAGGCGGCGCGGGGCAGGCCGGGCGCGCGGGCCTCGGCCTCGCGGCGCGGGCCGTCGGGGCTGGATTCTCTCGGCGGCGAGCGAAGGGCTTGGCTCAGAGCCCCGAATCATCAGGGGTAATTCGGGTCAGGATTAACGCGGGTTCGTTTTTCGGGGATCCGAGCCCGAGTTGCCCCGGGCCCGAGTTACCCCGGATAACTCGGGCGTCCAGAGCCCCACATCATCAGGGGTAACTCGGGTCAGGGCTAACTCGGGCTCCTTTTTCGGGAATCCAAGCCCGAGTTACCCCGGGCCCGAGTTACCCCAGATAACTCGGGCGCCCAATTGGCATCGTTCGGACGTGTGCATTTTTCTCGGCGAGAACCATCGAGGACCATCCTGGAGCATCGAGCAACAAAACCACGCACGACACCGAAAAACGCACGGGAAATGGACGCCCGAGCGACGGCGAGCTTTCGGCGGCGGGCGAAAGGGGGAAGTGAGGAGGAGAAGGCCTTCTCAGAGAAGGCGGCGGGACTTCTCAGAGGCCTTCGCGCCTGCTGAGAAGTTGTTGTCCCGTTTTCCGGGAAGGTTTCGAAGACTTCTCGGAAGGGCCGGGGAGCTTCCGAGCCTTCTGAAAAGGCCCGCCCCTTCTCATTTCCCCCCCAGGCGCGCCGCCTACTCCTGGGTTGGCTTCCGTCGTCGGCGGTTTGCGCCTGCTGGTTTTCGCTGCCGGCGGGGTTCTGGATCGAGTCTTGGGTCGCCTCCCGCTCGCAGCCTTGCCGATATTCGGGGGTGGACTGTTCCCGTGAGCGCCACCTTTGAGCTTCCGATTTGTCTGGCCGATGCTGTCGACGCGAACGCTGCTATCCGAATAATTCGGGCATGTAGCATTATGTACCCGCGTGCCTGGAGCATCCCAAGGCCAGCCTCATTTGGGCTCTTCCAGAGCTTCACCTGCTCGTCTGTCATAT